GGAAGGGAAGGGAAGGGAAGGGAAAGGGGAGGGAAAGGGGAGGGTAAGGACTCAAGGGCAGGGAAACACAGCGCATTCGGACCTACCACCAGGGCTGCGATAGGCACTCCTAGAGGGACGTCCGAAAGGGTTGGAGCAGCCCTGAAACTTAGGGGGGGAGCCGAGAACAGGGTTCAAGAAGAACCGTAAATCGATCTGCTCTTTTCACTTCGCGACAAAACTTGTGGGCTGTGACTGTGGCCTGGTCATTGCCAGATTAGTTAGTGCCATCCACCAAAAGCCGACGTCCGCCCTGTAGCTGGAGGCAGGCAGTGGCGAGCTAGGTGTGTGCAGCCTCAATCATCGTCCGAATCGCCCAGCACCGCAATATCGCTGTTGCGAATCTGACTTGTCGTCGGAGGTCTTGTGCCTGTGCCATAGTTATGCATCGCAACCCCAGTGATGTTGACGCAGTCGACTGCATCATTGACCTCACAGTCTTTCACGATGCGCCTGATGACAGAGTCCGACCAGCCGAGCATGATAATCAACTCGTCCTTCTTATGAGCACGCACCTCCGGATCGCGAAGGAAGCGACCAATGGTTTGCCGAAAGGCAGCAACGGTCACCATGGTGAAATCCCCGCTACGCCGCTACACTGCCGCTACACATTAAACAAGTTTAAACTTGAATCGTATATTCTTTGGTGATGGCCTGGGCCGGGGCCTAACTACTTCGTTTCGATCTGGACAGAAGGAGAAGTCAGGCGAAGTGCTTGAACCGCAAAGCAAGTGAGAAGAATGCAAAAGCCGAATCACTTGCATCAAATGTTAAGCCCAAGCCAATATCTACCAAAGGCCATTGCAATAAAACATCCACAACTGTACTACAAGCAGAACTGAAACCTCACAAAACGCAATGCACTCCCTCCGGGTGCCCGACTGCCTGGCGTCCAGCTTGCAAGGCGGCACGGCACGGCGGCAATGGCAAGGTTTGCAGCTGCTGCTGCTGCTAAAATGCCTTCACTGCTGCTTCCTCTATGTGCTTGTGTAAGTTCCACTAGTAAAGCCCAACGCCGACAAGGTGGCTTCATAACCTTCCCCCTATGCCGTCATAATGGCTTAAGATCTTATTTAAGACGATAGTTATAGTACAGCCCGGGCCGACAAGTTGGCTTACTAACCCTTCCCCCTATGCCGTCATAATGGCTTAAGAAGATCTTGTTTAAGACATTAGTTATAGTACAACCCAGTGCCGGCAAGGTGGCTTACTAACCCTTCCCCCTATGCCGTCATGGTGGCTTAAGATTTAAGATCTTACTTAAATATCGAATAGTTAGTGGCTTCGCGAGAGTTGTGCGTTTGCTGAAGTGGGACACTAAGAGGCTAAGAGGTTCGACACGTCAGGACCGTCAGGCCGTCAGGAGGCGAAATGCCTGCGAGGCCCGAGCACCGTTCAACAACTTTCAGCATGCAGCAGCAATGCAGCATGTATGTCCTTGTATGTGTATGAATCATCCGAAACTCATGCATGCCCTATGAAATATAAATACATGTCTAGGGATTGCTCTTTGCCGGTCTGGGGCCTGCTCCCACTGCATGCCGCAGTGCCGCAGATGGTAAAAACTTTCGACCCAACGTGAATTCACGAAATCTCACGAACACAGTGAACACAGGTTGGGTCTCTAAACGGGAGCACACCAGTAGCACGTCAACATGTTGTGTTTAGTTTGTTTGACGTCGAAATCGTCATGATGATTTTGGTAAGCAAAAAACAGTTTTGGCAACCGGCCCCAAGTTAAAATGCCGATGGCTT